GATCTCCGGGGTCCCAGTCTGTTCGGCTCACAAAGAAGGCCTTGGCCATTGGCCCATGTCTGACCCAGTGAAGGCGATTCAAATTCATCAGCCCACCAGCCAGAGACAAGCTGAGGAAATGCCTACCGGTGGCCTGCAAGGATGGAGACCCCAGCCCCGCGCGGTTTGGGCGGCGGCCACCTCCCCTGAGGACACACACACTTCCCTTCTGTTCTCTCTCCACTCCTCTCAGAGTCTCCCAAACACAGACACCTCACATCATGGCACGGATCAGCCTGGGTCTCAGCGAACCAAGGTCTCGGACAGGCAGCTTCCAAAGGCAGGGGCTGGGTGTGAATGGCTTCTGAAGTCTCCGGCCCCCACCCCTGCCCAGGATCTGGTCCCAGAGGTGCCCCCAAAAGCCTGCCACCGCTCCCGCCTCAGGGCCTTTGTTTATTTCGAGACTTCTGCCGGGATACCCCTCCCGCCCGGCCTGCCAGGCAAACACGGCCTCATTTAAGCGAAGGTGTTTTGCATATATTATCTCATTGGATCTGCACAACAACCCTTTGTGATGGGTACTATTATTAGCCCCATGTTGCAGGAAGGAAATAGACTAAGAGGGATTAAGAAACTTGCTAAAGGTCACGCCATAACACACTACAATGTGTCAAAGGGCAGGATTTGAACCCAGGCCAGGCCCCTCTAAAGTCCATGTTCTGAGCCACCTGGTCTCCTGCCCTCCAGGGTGGCACCGGAGGCATCAGCAGAGCCAGAGATTCACAGAAGGTTGACAGCCCCTTGGAGAAGCAAAGTGCTGTCAGTGTTTCTAGCACCGAGACCCGGCTCCTGTCGCTGCTCTGCACAGAGGAGACCCTCGTAAGTAGACGTGGGATGAAGGAGCCAGATGGGCACTCAGAGAGCAGGGGGAGGGAGGACACTGGGGAGCAAAGAGAGCTCCGTGTTTTATGAGCTGGGCCAGGGATGTGCCAACAGCATCGAAGACGTGAGCCTGCAGCCTGGGAGGCCGCCACTGCCCATCTGGGAGTTGGGGATGGCCAAGCCACAGGAACACATGGGCTCTCCGAGAGAGAGTAAGGTTTTCAACGTTTTGGTAAATTTTTAAAAAATGCCTTGTTGCCTGACTGGCATGGCTCAGTGGCTGAGCGTCAACCTATGAACCAGGAGGTCACCAGGTTCAATTCCCGGTCAGGGCACATGCCCGGGTTGCGGGCTTGATCCCCAGTGTGGAGCGTGCAATGATTCTCTCTCATCATGGGTGTTTCTATCTCTCTCTCCCTCTCCCTTCCTCTCTGAAATCAATTTTAAAAATTAAAAATGCATATTTTTGTGTGTTTTCATTTCTTTCCAGGACACACTGGCAGGAGAAAAACAGATGCCTGAGCCTCTGAAAGCTCCATGCTGCACGCGCCGTGCCCCCCACCAGCGAGACGAGGGGAGACTGAACAGAGCCCGGCGCTCATCTTCCAACACCAGAGGCTGCCTCACGGGACCATGGGCCCCTTTTCCCTGTTCCAGGGCCGGGCTGACAGCTCCGGGGAAGCCCGTTTCCTCCGAGTGGGAGGACAGAGCTTCTAAAACCTCGTGCTACCCACCGAGGGACAGCCTCCCCCGGGAGACAGCGACTCCCTGTCGTGGGCGGGCCCGCAGAGGCAGAAGGGGTTCGTGATGCCCTGGGGAGGGGCACCCCCGTCCCCTTTGAGACCGGCCAAGCCGAGGTTCTCCGACTTAAAGCCAGAGTTTGGTTGGGAGTTACCCAGTACTGTCTCAGAATTCTTCTTCCTCAAAAAAAACACGAGTTGTCCAAACTAACAAAGAGGAATACTGTTCTAGACGGTGCCCCAGCATCATGTGTGTGCAGGGCCAGGCCTGGGAGTGGAGGTGAGCATCTGGGGCGGAGCTGGGGGAGGTGGAGAGGTGGTCATCCGGTCCCTGCTAACGTGCAGCCAAGTGACCAGCAGCTGGTAAGGCTGAGAGAGCGACGAGCAGATCCTTAGCACAGCCCCCGCCAGCACCCACGAGGCAGGGAGCACCCCTGCCCGCCCCGCTTCAGACCTGAGGAGCACAGCGGGCCTTGCCCCACGGAAGGGGCTTTCCGGGGGCTCCACCCTCTCTCCGGAAGCCGGTCCCCCGCTGGCCGCACACCACACCTCATTCAGAGAATTACAGAATCAGGGGGGCTTAGGAGCCCCTGTGAACAGATGAGGAAACTGAGGCCCAAGACCACAGAGCTAAATAACGGTCTAAACTGCTTTTGAAACCAGGTGTCTTGAACCCAGGACCCTTTCGTTCAACACAAGCACTGCAAACACCAGCTCTTCGTCAGACACCGTGAGTCCCGAGAAATGAAGAGATTAATGGCACCCTAGTCCCTGAGGTGGGGGAGAAAAGTGCGGAACAAAACCTTACAGGATGGCGGGTGAGGTGCATGACCTAGTCTCTGAGGTGGGGGAGACGGAACAAAACCTTACAGGATGGCGGGTGAGGTGCATGCAGGGGTGTGTGTAGGAGCAAGCTCTCCCTGCCCCCACCACACCCCCCAGGACAACCTGGGCCCAAACCTCTCCCATTTCCCTCCAGAAAGAGCTTGACTGGAAGGTCAGAGGCCCAGAGGGAGCCCCAGACTGGAGATTTCCCATGAGACCGTGGGTCACGTCGGATGTGGGGCTGGGCGGCGGCGCTGGGAGCAGGCAGGCTTGGGCCAGAGTGGAGAGCAAGCCCAGCCACCTGCCAGCGCCAGCAGACGTGACGGGGACCATCTGGTGGGCCCAGCTTGCACATGAGCAGGCCCAGCTGGAAGCGGTGGGGCAGAGAAGGGACTGAGGTTTCATTTCGTGAAAGCCCCCTCTGTACCCTCTGCTGTTACCAAGGCTCTTCAGGGATCAGCACAGTGGGCGACAGGGCTCCCACACTTCAGAGGGGGTCACCGTGGCCCAGAGAAGGTGTGACTGGCCCCCGGTCATTCAGACTGTAGCGTCTGAGCCAGGAGTCCCAGCCACTGATTTCACTTTGCTTCTCCCAACTGTGAGCGCCAGGCCAAGGCGAGCACCTGAAATGGCATCTTCTACCGCCCAACATCAGGACAAAGCAAAGACTGGGCCGTGAGCAGGGGGCGGGACCAAGGGTGCCCAGCGAGGGGCTGGCCTGTCACAACATGGCCCTGCCACCGGCCACAGCGGAGGTCACAGCTGCCGCTGGGCCAGATCGGGGCTGAGAGCTAAGCTGCAGGCCCTGAGCTGGGAACAAGGACCCCGAGAGAGTCAGGGGAGGGACACCGGCTCTTCCAAGCCCAAGGCCTGGAGCGGAGAGGAAGCAGTCAGGCTCGGAGACCATCGTGGGGGTTGTGGCTGGGAACCGCTCTTCTTCCCCCTCCCTTAAGCTGCATGGTTCGCTGATCTTTACGGTTCTGCCATTTTCTTTGGCCTGTGTGACACCTTCCGCACAGGTCAGGGTGACCTATAGTAAGACAGACTCCCTTCAGGTGAGGGCGTGGGGGCTCAGGGGGGCTGAGGGGCTCCCAGCTCCGCGACTGGTTTGGGGAAGCCCAGACTGACTTCCGGTCCTGCCTTGGTTCCTGCCCCTGTCCCTCCTGCCTACACTCCCGGCTCCTTCCTGGGGCCGACTGGACAGTGGTCTGGGTTAAAGGCCACACGCTTTGTCCTTCAGGCTCCATGAGGGAAGCTGCTCGGTGGCCTCTGGGACCGTCAGCCCTCAGAGCACAGCATCTCTCTGAGCAGCTGTGACCTCCAGAGACTAAAAGGCCCAGCCTCTGGATCAGTGTCATCTGGTCAGCGACAGCTGGAGCCCTGCCCAGCGGGCCGGAGCCGAGGCCTCTGCGCCCAGGCCAGCATAGCGGCCCCGCTCCCTGGGGGGAGGCGCGCACACCCCCATCTGCCTGTGCCGCCCATCTGCCCCCACAACGATGAGCAACAAGAGGTTACTCAGGTCCCCGAGCGTCTCGCATACGCTCCTCACTCCATCCTCACGGCAGCCTGTAACAGGCAGAACTGAACCCTCGGGTCCCAGACAAAGAAGGATTCACATGTTCCAACCCAGAAAGGCCACGGGCCTGGCCACATACACCGTGAGAAGAGGTCACGGCTGGGCCCTGACCCCAGATGTTCTGACTCTGAGTTCTGGTCTTTGTCGACCTCTTGCTGCTGCCAGATGTGGATCTATCTGTGCTCCTCCAGCCAAAGGACCAGGGTTACACCCAGATCCACATGTGGGACAAAGAACACCTGGACACCCGGGTCCCGCAGAGCAGGTCACCCTGAAGGGCCGTGAGGGGGAGACCCACTGTCACAGAAGATGCCACAGATCTGCTCGCTCCTGCCTGCCTCTCCAGCCCACGTCAAACAGTGGGAGTGCACCCCCCAGAGGCCCAGCTAATATTTCTCTGGGTGCCAAGTCACTCCTGGGCACCCCCTGGACAGGGTAAAGTCTACAGCACATGGAAATGCAGGTTCCTGGTGGTATTCGATGCAGTGTGCGTGTGTGTGTGTGTGTGTGTGTGTGTGTGTGTGTGTGTGTGTGTGTGTGTGTGTGTGTGTGTGTGTGTGTGTGTGTGTGTGTGTGTGTGTGTGTGTGTGTGTAGGAGGATATGAGACCTGTCTCACTGGGGGGATTCTGTGACTCAAGTTCAGAAAGGATCCAGCAAGAGTGAAAAGTCAAAGCAACTCGTAGGGCTTCTCAGATGAAGAAAGGCTCACATATCCCAGCAGTGCAGTGGCACTAAAGGCATATTCCGAGCAGACTGCCCCCTAAATCATAGAGCCATGTTTGCCTCTGGGACCCCCCAATGAAGATGACATCGCCATTGTTCTAAAGCCACAGTTCCCTCTGCCATGAGGGTCCAAACCAACAGAAGAGCCACACTCTTGGACACCATCTTATGGAATCACCCGAGTAGCTGCTTAGGGGGTGACTTGGGGCGAGGACAGGCTCAGCCGCCAGAAGAAGTGGCCACTGCCTGACGGGTGAGGGCCCAGGGCACCTACCTGGACTTCACGTGTGTGATAGGCGATGATCAAACCCAAGAGGATGATGGTGGACAGACTGATAAGGCATTTCAGGGCCAACGAAAACATGGAATCCTGCGGGAGAAACGGAGAGAGAATTACGGAGGGCCCGGAAGGGGACAGCTCGTGTCACTCTGAGGCCATGTGAAGGGGAGCCCTGGGCAGAGGAGGGACTGTCAGCAGAAAGTGCCCTCGCTGGGCCCTGGGCCGCTCCACCTCAGCAGCTGCTCCCCAGCCCGGCCCCTGTTCTCAGGGTTAAATCCCCGCTGCATCCCTGGGATGAACGCTGCTGGGTGTGATGTACGACCTGTGTTATATGTGACCAGAGTCAGTTTGATGTGTTGTTTAGAATGTTTGCCTCCATACTCATAAGTCAACTGAACAACATTTTTTTTTTGGTGCTGCTACGATATGGTGTGGGCATCAATACTGTGCCAGTTTAGGCCTCTCTTTTCTCGTAACAACCTGAGCCAGAGGATTCCTGCGGTCCTCCGATCTCTGACCGTGCAGAATTTTCTCAGGAATGAATGAGAATGTCTTGGCAGCTGCTCTCATCTCCTGTTTGAGGTCAAGGGCAGGGAGGGAGGCAAGGGTGGCAGAAGAGCGACTGAAGAGAGAAGGGGGCTGCGCACATGAGCCACGAGGGGTGCTGGGCAGGAGAAGGGCCCTGCGGGGCCTCCCTGCGGAGGATGGGGAGGCAGGTGGGCTACGGGGCCTTCCCTGCAGCCTTCCAGCTCCAGGGCAGCTTAGAGGACCCCCTGGCTGGGAGCACAAGCCCTGGGGACAGCCCACTGGTCCAAACCCCGACACAGCCACTAGCTAAGTGACGTCAGCTGCTCGGATGCCTCAGGGGCCACCTGGGGATCACCTACCTCGTGCGGCTGCTGTGAAAACGAACGGACATGTGTGTGTAAAGGGCTGGACCAGTGTCTAGCCATGTAAAGGCCAGCTACCACTGTCATCTGCTTTGCTTCCTTACAAATGCAGGGCGACTCCACGCCTTCCTGGGCATTTGAACGCCTGGGAGCAGAGGTGGCTTCCAAGCCCAAAGGAGACAGGAGCGCAGCCTGAGCGAAGGTAGCAGATGAGAGGCCGGTGCCCGGGCTCCTGAGAGATGGACGCGCACAGGAAACAGCCCCCGTGGTCCCGGGGCTGGGGTCAGAGCAGCGCCTATTTCATAAAGCACCTCACAGTTTACAAGGTGCTTCACATGCCAGTTCTCATCCATCCTCGAGACAGCCCCTGGCCTCTGTCCCAACTCATCAGACACCCCGACAACCGCTCAGAGAGGCTGATGCCCGAGTTCAAAGCCGAGGCCCCCGACTCCCAGGGGAGCACTCCCACCAGCCCTCTCTCCGATGGGAAACAGCAGAAACGCTCTCTGAGAAGTGTCCCCCAGCACCGCTTACGACAACATGGAAGGTATTTCAAAGGTAGGATATGATTAACTGCCTGGTGAAACCTACAGTAAACCCGGGGTGGGTGGGGGGAATCAAGAGAGGGAGACATCACTGTTAAGAAACCTTTCAGAGAGGCTGGCTGGCGTGGCTCAGGGGTTGAGCGTCGACGTATGAACCAGGAGGTCAAGGTTCAATTCCTGGCCAGTACACATGCCCGGGTTGCAGGCTCGATCCCCAGTGTGGGGCATGCAGGAGGCAGCCAATCAATGATTCTCTCTCATCATTGATGTTTCTCTCTCTTTCTCTCTCTCTCTCTCTCCCCCCCCCCTTTCCCTTCTGCTCTGAAATCAATAATTTAAAAAAAATTTTTTTTAAAGAAAGCTTTCAGAGACAGAGTGACAGGGGGCTGGGGGCTGCAGGGTTGGGTAGTGTTGTCCAATAGGACAGCCACTAGAGTCACGCCCAAACCCACGCTCCCACCGCCCTCTGCAGGCCGAGTCGGAATGAAACAACCCTCCCTTGTGTCTGTCCATCTACCAGTCATTTATCAGATACAGTTCCTGGGGCCCACGTCATGCCAGGCAAGAGCTAGCACTTGGGAATCCCAGGGAGAACTAAGGAGGTAGCTCATTCATTCATTGTTTCTTTCATTCGTCACCATTTCAACCACTTCTCATTTCTTGGGCAACTACTAGATGCCCAACAGTGTACTAGAAGCTCTGAGATATTTACAGAGAGGCCCTGCCTGCCAGAAGCTACCCATGTGGCTTATACACGAACGCTAACTTCCTACACCGTGTGGGGCTGTCCAGCTCTAGGGAACGGTCTCCATTGTGCACTGCCCAGACAATGGTCTAAACCAGCGGTTCTCAACCTGTGGGTCACGACCCCTTTGGGGGTCGAACGACCCTTTCACAAGGGGTCGCCTAAGACCATCGGAAAACACATATATAATTACATATTGTTTTTGTGATTAATCACTATGCTTTAATTATGTTCAATTTGTAACAATGAAATCGGGGGTCACCACAACATGAGGAACTGTATTAAAGGGTCGCGGCATTAGGAAGGTTGAGAACCGCTGAAACATAAGCCACTGCCATGGCCCACAATTTAATGAAGAGCAGCCTGCAGTCATGCACTCAGCACACGTGTACGGGGGCTGGTGGTGTGCTGCTCCCATTACGGGCACAAAGCAAAAACAGATCACAGTTCCAGTCCTGGAGAAGGTTCTGGTCTTCGAAAGCACCACTTGGTGACCGAAACATGACCCAAGCCACAGGCCTGGGTGGGACTGGAAGATCAGGCAGGGAGTTCAGGGACACGCCGGCTGTTTCAGGGTGAGACAAACCTCCCTACAGGAAGCAACTGGGAGCAGCTCACAACGTTCCTGAGCCAGAAACGACCATAACTTTCTTCTCCAAGGAGCCTGAAGGCGTCTGGGGAGCATCAAGCCTCCCCAGGGAGGGGTGTGGGATCAGCCGCACATTTCAACCTCTAATTTATTCCTTTTGGCAGAAATTAACTGAAACCATTATCCAAGTCTATTTCTATCATTGTTGGAGGAAGAGGTGAAGGGGGCCAGCTGTTGTCTCCTCTCCTTTCAGCCTCTTCCTTTTGTTCTACAACTTGAAGCCTTTACGTAAGAGGCACCTCCTACCTGCTCCGTGGTTTTGAATGGTGCAACCCCCCTGGCCAGCTCCAGCCCCGCAGGGAGATGAGCTGTGCAGTGGATCAGCCGCAACACTCGCTACTTTACAGATTTGCTTGCATTCTCTATCACATGTCAATAAAAACAGACCATCAACCATTCTTAATAGCTGGAAAACATGTCAAATAATTCTGGCTGAACTCGAAATGTTTTCTATTTGGATAAATGTTTAATTACCATCTTTTCTTTGCTGCCCGAACGCCAATGAAGCTTGAAATTGATATGGTTCTCGGGTGATGACAGCAACTCGGGGTTGGCTAATTAGTTGCCAGACACCAGGCTCTGGGGGCACCTGGCGCACCTGCTCTGCCCCACTCACTCCCTCTGAGGCCAAAAGAGACGGACGGGGCTGGAAGGGAGTCCTCCGGCCAACTGGTCAACCCCTGTCCCCTGCAGCTCAGAACTTTTCAACCACAGAATAATAACCCTTAATACACATGAATGCTTAGGAATTCTATCTCAGCAGCTAAGAGGCATTTTTAAGCCATTTATTCCTCAATGCCCAAAAATAGTAGGGTGGGTAGGTAAATTCGAGAACAGCCAGTGACAGAACACTATGCAGCCACTTAAAAGCATTTCTATAGAGAATATTTGAAGACATGAGGAAAGGTTCAGGATGTAATATCAAGTGAAAAACCCAGGCCCCGAAACTGAATATATGGTATATTTCCAATTAGTTTTCAAGTTTTTACTTTTAATGTGAAGAAAAAAAAAAGATGGTGAAAATACAGTATCCTGCTCTAAAGTGGTAGGCAGGGTGCTCAATTCACAGCACACGTCTGTGGAGATTCTAGGAAACACGCTGATACCGTATCACCTCTGATGCTTGAGTACAGGAGATGCTTACTAAGTGCTTCCTGCACCCTGGCTGGTTTGGCTCAGTGGATAGAGCGTTGGCCTGCGGACTGAAGGGTCCCGGGTTTGATTCCAGTCAAGGGTCAAACCCCAGTCGGGGGCCTGCAGGAGGCAGCCAATCAATGATTCCCTCTCATCATTGATGTTTCTATCTCTCTCTTCCTCTCTGAAATCAATAAAGATATCTTTAAAAAAAATAAAGAAGTACTTCCTGAAATTACTTAATAATAGCACTTTCATTTTTACCTAACATTTATTGAGTACCGACTGTGTACCAAGTCCCAGACTATGCCTACTACACAATTTAACTTCCGTCCACACCCTACAGACGAGGTCACAGTCTCCATTTTACTAATAAAGAAATAAATAAAATGACTTTTCCAAGGTCATATAACTAGCCCAGATTTTAGCTCTAGGCCAGATTTTCTTCTATATCCCATGCTTCCCCCCTTCCTTCAAACGAACTAGGCTTCCCTGTGATATAGCGAATTCCTGGCATGCTAGTGGAGGCTGGCTATAGCCATCAGGGGTGCCACCGAGTGGGAGGGTGAACCCTAAGACACCCCCATTCACGTGGTCCCTGTTCTGCTCCAGCCATCAGCCAGCCCTTCACAGATCTGTGATTTCTCATCGATGACAACATATGTGCTCACACATATGAGCACATATGTGATGAAGAACTACTGTCGGGCTTTCCATGCAAGGCGGGCATCACCAACCCACTCTTACAGAGGAGGAAACTGAGGCTCCAAGAAATTAATTTGTCCAAGGATGTGCCAACGAATGGCAAAGACAGGACGGATGACGCTGGGATGACTCCAGATCTGTCTGCCTCCCGGTTCCATGCTGCGCACACCAACACCCCCACCAACACCCCACCATGCCCCCTGGACCCCGTGTCTGCAGGGAGGCCCTCAGACTGCCCCAGGCCTTCCTCCCCCGAAGCTGCGCAGAATGACGGAGTGTGTTCCCGGCTCCGGAGCCAGCCGTATAAATTGCTCTCCTGCCTGCCTGTGGCTTCCAAAGACAGGCCAGAACCGTAATGATTACGGTAGATCTTCCCAGAGACACTGAAGTCTTAAATGTGTTTTATTGCTTGGAACATTTGA